ATTGATAAGTAGTAATAGTAATTGTATTCTGTTTCTGTATATCTCGAAGGACTCCGAAACTCTGATTTGAAGGTTATAGGTCAAGGTTTATAGTTTGACTTCCAAGTCATTTTTAAGGCAGCACAGTTGATATACTACAAACCATTTTTATGCTATGGTCGTGGTTAATTTGTAAAGAAACATGGACGTAGCGATTTTCTCTAGCGGTGTCCGCGCAATTAGACTGAAGAGCACCGTTAGCGTTCTGCTTTAGTTGCACCACATCTGACTAAGTGAAAATGCGCTTGATATGAGACGGACTACATCATTTTAGACAAGTCTGCTAAATATCTCAAATGATACTACACTTACTCTCGTAGATACTATTACAGAATTACGTAGAACGGACATTCCAACAACAAATACAACAGAATAAAATCTTTTGACAATTTGTGTACTCAAGAATTAATAATTAATGCTAATTAGGATTCAAGTGATTATTCCCGTTCATATGGAGAAGAATCCAAAGATTCATTATAATAAACAGCAAGAATTTATTATAATTATTTGTAAATAATATAAATTATAATTTATTTTATTTCATTATAATTTACCAGACAGGTACCAAAATTTACAACTTGAATAATCTTCGTTATATAATCTGTTGGCTCGATAAATATCGGAGCTAGTGATTACGTCGCTTCATTAAAATTAAAAAATAAAGTATTGCATTTTTTGTCTATGGTTGTATGTCAACAATTACGGAACTTCGGAGGCATGCATGTCAAAAGTAAATTACAAAACAAAAAAGTTAAATAAATGTTTGGACGGAGTATAGTCACCTGCACAGCCACATATTTCTTCCGTGGTCACCTGCCATTGCATTTTTTTTTTTGGTATTCTGCTCTTCAATGGCGAGTCGACAGCACATAAGGTGTAGTCCAATCATATTATACGTATTTAATTTGAAGTTGACAATTTTAAAATACATAGTTATTTCCATGGTAGTTATAATAAGGCAACAGCGATCGTTAGTGATTGATTAAAATAATGCCATCAGTTCGCGCCTTATCGTGCTAGCCCTACCTACAGCTCTTTCAAATAATCTTTGAAGAGAGTTTTTAAAGTCTCTCCCACTGTAGTAACAATACTTGTCAAGAGAAACTAATTTGGTTTGGAATATACTGGGATTTGACGTCCGTGGTCGAGTGACTTGCACACCGGTTTTTATGGTTTCGTCATCTCTGAGGTCCCGAGTTCGATCCCCGGCCGGGTCAGTGTAGAAACGTAACTTTTCTATATTCTCACGGGCCTGGGTGTTTGCGATACCATCGTTGTTTCTGATTTCCAATACACAAGTGCTTTAGCGACTTACTTTTCAAATTCAAATTCAAATTCAAAATAATCTTTATTTCATAGGTAAGCATTATTACACTTGAAATCGTCACAATATTAAACTCTACCGCTCATTCGTAAGGCAGATTCCCCTGAGAAGAATGAGCAAGAAACTCTAGTGGTTGCTCTTTGTAAATAACATTTACAATATTTTTTTATTATTATTTGAAACATCAGAGATCGAGACTACCTCCATGAGCTAAACGGGTTACTACCACGGATTTTTGTCATCCAAGTACGCAGAAGTTGTTTAATAACCTTTAGTATAAAGTTTTTGTTTCACTATAGTTTTAAACCTCGTGTAAGGCAAATTTTGTATATCAACCGGAATCTTGTTATAGAAGCGTATACATTGCCCCTTAAATGATTTTTTGACTTTGTGAAGACGACTATCAAGAAAAGCTAGTTTATTTCTATTCATCGTATTAATGTTATGTCTGTCACTATTTTTCATAAATAAATTACTATTCCTTTTAACATAAATTACATTCGCATAAATGTACTGTGAGGCTAGTGTAAGAATGTTAATTTCCTTAAACTTATCTCTCAAAGATACTTTGGGGCCCAGATTGTAAATTGCCCTAACTGCACGTTTCTGCAGGACAAAGATTCTATTGATATCGGCGGCATTACCCCAAAGCAAAATGCCGTATGTCATTAGACTGTGAAAGTAGCTGAAGTAAACCAATCTAGCGGTTTCGACGTCTGAAAGTTTCCTTATTTTTTTAATCGCGTACACTGCAGAGCCGAGCCGTTTTGATAACTTACTTATATGGGGACCCCATTGCAATTTAGCATCTAACGTTATACCTAGAAATACAACTGTATCCACAAGATTCAATTTTTCGTTTCTACTTCTACTTTGGGATCAGAACAATGTATGAGATGTCGTCTAATATAATTATATATATTGATTTTCTTATATTGATAACAAATTGAGAAATAAACGTCTTATTTTTCGTAAAATCAAAATGATAACCCAAAAAATTAAGAATTTGACATTATTCGGGCAGCACTTATTAAACTCACATGACCCTATCTATCACTTTAATAATCAAAAATTTCCAGCTTTTTTATGAGCAAGAATTCTCATGTAATTTAGCAATCTTATATTAAGTAGTGTAATTACTGCTGGATATTAATGATCCGTACTTGGATTACGTGAGGTGCGGTCATGAACACGCCTACACTAGTCTCGCCGTTTGGTTTCGCTCGCAACCACCCGTGACAGTCGCATCGTGCTCGACGAGGTTTTTATTCAGCTAATGGATAAAAGTGAAATTGTTTGTTCGCAAGTCCAAGAAATTGTTGTTAAAGGAAGTATTAAGAATTACCTACGTGCGCGAATGGAAAGATTATAACCGCATAATGGCCGGAAAAATGAACTATTGTTTCGCTTTTACTTTCATTTAGTAGCCGTATAGGTATATTTAATTAAGTAATGTTCGTGCTTGAGTTCAGATTTGAATTTCGTACCCTTGATGTAATAAAGCCATATGTGATCACACATCAAAACTGGATTTATCACATTAAAGTCATAAACATGATACGAACTAACATGAAACAAATTATGTATAGGTAGGTATATGTGAATTTTTATAACTTTAGACGTCATCAATCTATAGACACATCTCCGGACAAATTGTAACCCTGAACGACTTAGAAAAATAACACCATATGACACACTATTTCTTGCTTTTTTAAATAATTTCTTTTAAAGTTTAGATTGTAAATAAGTCAATGATTGTAAACTACTAATATGATTCTGATCAGTAAGGTCCAAATTTATTTGCTTGATTTCATTCTAAGGTCATGTTCAAGTACATTTACACCAAACCACATTTTACTTAGGTTTATTGCGTATAACTTCGCCATAAAAAGTTATTGACTAATTTCGTTTGCAGAATCTTTAAACCTTGAAAAGTTGTCATTTATTTTTAATTAAAATTGTATACTCAAAAGCGCTCGAATCTAAACGTTTTGCACAAAGTGGGTAAATTTTTAAAATTCCTACAAAGGCATAGGGCCTTCACTATGAGTCACATTCGAATACGCAAGCGATCGTGTAATTTTAAATTTTTGTTCTGCTAGTGACTGTTAGGGGCGTTGTACAATTAGCCACACACATAGGTATACACACATAGGCATATTTCTGTAGACATACTTATTAGTCCCTACTACTAATAGGACTTAGGCAGTTCTTGTACCACGCCACAGATTTTACGCAGTCGCTAGCGACTGTAAATCCATGATAAAAGAGTAGGCTACCATAATTACTAATAGGTACGTTTTGGTTTTCGAGTAAAGTTGATTTTATTTTCAAATTCAATCAATGAACATTAATTTCTAAGTATAAATTTAAAGAATTGTGGTTATTCAGTTTTTGATTATTACTGATTTCAGGTGTAGATACTTACATTGAGTGTGGTACATAGCCAGTATTGGCCCATGGAAAAATATCCATTTTCAAAAATATCATATTTTTCTGAATATTTTTCCAAACTTAATTTTCCGATTTTGTGAAAATAAGTCTACTAGGGTTTAGAAAAACACATTTTGCAATGTTTATACAATTTTAGTTTATAATTCTTGTTAAATGAAACTTTAAAAGATAAACGCAGAATATAACTTGACTCATCGAATTATATTTCTCAAACTTTTCAGGAATTTTTTCTAAAAAATTTTCGCCATTTCAAATTTTTCGGATAATTTCGTAACATTAGGTATATCGGGGACAGTATAAGTAACTCGAATTGAGGGGAGTCACATAGAGTGAAAGAGGATGGTCATGTTTGTCCTTAAACTGTCAACTAAAGTTTACTAATCAACCGGAGGCCACGGAGCGTGAAAGCGCTCTGAACTATCGGGAGAACAACAAAAACTCATACCATGGTGAGAAACCCGTAACTTGTTATAATCGTGTAATTTCCCAAGCACTTAGGTCTAAACATCGCAAGTACATTATCAATAAGAAAAACACAAACAAGTCCAATGGTTAGTAGACAGTCGAACATTCCGTAAAGGTAAGGAAAGGCTTGCGTGCGCAGACCGGTTGATATATTTCTGTTAGAAAACCGCTCGTTGCCAATGGTCAAGAGATGTTGTTTGCAAGAATTAGTATTATTTGCTACTTGTCGTGTTTTAATCTAAGTATCGTTCGTAGAGTGAATACTTATGTATGTGATTTGGAAATATTTTTTCAGGAGGAAGCAAAAACGAGATAGATGCAAAATTTTATTAACATGTTATGCTTAAAGTTAGCATTTTAATTAAATATTTTTTATATATAATTATTTTAAAAAAGGCACAGCTTTTTTAAGGTTTCAAGGCGACGTTATCTAAGCATAAGTCAGTAGCGTTAAAGCTCCTTGTGAAAGAGTTCGTCTTGAGAATACTGCCACCTTACCTATTTCTGCCGCCAAGCAGTAATGTGAGCGAGTCCAATGTGCCTGTAATTTCACCAGCACCCTTACCCTTCAAAACCGGAACGCAGTAATGGTCACATTACTGCTTGGCAACAGAAATAGGCAAGGTGGCAGTACTTCTCTGGACGAACTCTTTTACAAAGAGCTCTACTGCTAGATAAAAAGAAAGAGAATCTAAACTTTTGTTTCGTTTTCTTTCAGCTATTAATCTACCTCTCGCTATGGTCGGTATCGAACGCGACGGCGGCTTACTTCAGCCGGATGGCGGCGATTAACCACATGTCGGCGCTCAACGCCTACAACCGCCGCCCCACAGCCTTTAGACCGGGCGTCATGTTACACAGACCGTGGATGAGCCAGCGACTCGTTCAGGCTGCCTCGTACAGGGCGCCTTATGTCATTTATAGAAATAATCCACATCGGTAAGCAAAAACACACATAAAACCACTAGAAACACATCCGTCCGCCTTCAGTCCAGACGTTACGGCTCATAGGCCGTGAGTGCATCAACGTTTCGTCCAGGCCTCAAAGATCCAGGAAATTTTATTTTCTATAAATAATATATACATAAATATTATATATCTTATAAATAGTAATTATAAATTAAAATAGACTATCAACAATAAAAATAGAATGAAAGGTCTCGTCAGACCAAGCGTTGTGAGTGACGCACATCGAGCAACACTTATAAATAGATTCCGCGGTTTTAATCTGATCAGCATTCAAAACATTTCAGATATGCAGTAAAACACTACAGTTCTCGACCAACATTCTCGAACGCTTGGAAGACGACGCGAGTTCCAGCAGCCACGTCTGAGTATGAGTTCATCCGAGCCGCATCAGCGTCGCCACAGTTGCACTCGCAAGTCGATGGTGGTACAGGTTGACTAACTGCACTGCACATCTACTTACATTATTTTCTGTTCCCAAATCTTTCTTGAGCATGTCACGTTCCACAATTAAATTACTTTAACGATGGAAATTTAAGGAACAGTGTCAATCAATAAAAACCATCTGATGTTCAATATGGTTCCAAATGTTAGTCGAGGAGTAAATATTTGATTAATTTTATTTCATTACGAGAGAGTCCTAATAGTAAAAATTGTTCACGATGGGTTTCTATGATGAAAACAATTTTATGGTGTACAATTGTTGTACATTCCAAAGTTACAGTTTTGTCTAATTTTATTACTCGTACCTAGTATTTTATTTGCTCCATGTGAAGTGCATTTTCATGTGATATAAAACCCAACAGAAGTAAGCATAAGGTGAACATAATCTTATATTGACCTCATGCTTACTTCGGCTGGGCTGCTTAATTCATCTAAATTGATGGCTACTTTTGATGAAATAAGCTTTTATGTATTAATGAGATCACTGCTGACGCTATATTGCTCTTTATATGTACGTTTGTAGACATATCACGTAGAGTCTATTTATTCTGTAATATGCATTTAAGTAATTGATTTACTTAGTATGATATATACCTATCTATACCGTTTCGTGCACTTCAGCGCACAATCGTAAGCGACTCGTCCGCGGTGGATACTTCTGTCACCCGTCCAAAAATTATTGTTTTGTCAACTTCCTAAAAACCGCGCAATGGTGATCGAAGTTCCCACCCGTGGACTAAATCGCGTAGGTTCAAAGCCTGTTGACTGACAGGTGCAATCCACACCATCCCAGCGCCCAACCTCAGCCTCTCTGAGAAGCCCATCATTGTCATGGAAACCGATAACATTATCACTACGCCTACTTCTGAAGCGGTAAGTAAGCTACTCGCATATTTATCTTACTCTCTGATAATTTTTAACGGACTCAAACAAAGGAGGTTCTCAATTCGGTTGTATTTTTTTGTGTATCACAGCCCAAGCGGTGTGTATGTTACCTACTCCGACATTTGTGAACCAATTTCAATGATTCTTTTTTGTTGGAAATGGGGTACCTGTGTCACTACTCAGGTACCCCCTTTCTAATAAAAACCATCATCTAATTGAATGGGACCATTGTGTCGGTTATTTTTAAACATAAACTTATAATTACGTAGATAAACGTTTTAGGTCAGAAAAAGAAACAGAAAAAGAACGTTCATGGAGACAGTACTTTATAGAAAACTGCTTGCACACTCGCACCATCTATAATATAGTCAGCGTGCGCAAAACTAACAAATTTAGACAAAGATACGAGAAACTGCGTATTGGACGTGTGTAATCAGGAATTTTATGTGCCAAATTAATTAAACGAATTTATATAATACATAATTTTTACCTGAATATTGTTACAGCCGAAATCACCCTATGAAGTAACTGAAAAAACTCCCGACCCACTCACTCAAGTATCAGCCAAAATTGAGCAACCTATTGGATTCTCTAAGGCCACAGTATGTATCAATTAGCTCTCGATTTGTTAGCTGTCAAAAATTTTTCATCGTCATATAATTATAAAAATAATATATGTACATATTTGGTGCATATAACACATTCTAATAACTAACAGAGCCAATTGGAAAACAAATCACTTTATCTATAATAGCAGGATATTAAAAATAACAAATTCGTCGTTTACTATTGCTTTATCGCAAGTATTACTAGATTTAAAATAGACTAGTAGTAGCAGTAGGTATACATCCGTATGAAAGAGTTCGTCCAGGGAAGTACTGCCACTTTACCTATTTCGGTCACCAAGCAGTAATGTCAGCATTACTGTATTCCGATTTTGAAGGGTAGGGGTGCTGGTGAAACTATACGCACATGGGACTTGTCAACTTATGTTTCATGGTGACAGGCGCGGTGGCAATGGGCATTGCCAGATCTTTGCGATTTAAAGCTCTGAGTGGTCCTGCAACTGTAATAAACAGGCGTGTAGTTCACCATCAGGCGCACAACTTGTTCGTCCCGTCACTTGATATTATAGAAAAAAAACCACTATTACTAAACTTATATTTTATCTATACACATAAGGATACAATGGGACTGGCATATAAATTTATGAAATAATCTGATTGGCAATTGAAGACATTTTTTGTTATCAGGGCTTCTGTAGGCTCCATTGTTAATAGGTCAACTTTATAAACATATACATATGCATCAAAAATACAAATCATATTGCACTCTTGTTTCCAGTCCCTAACTACACCAGAGGTACAGCATTTAGTTCGCAACGGGGCAACTCTTCAGCTTGCATCGGACCTTGGTTTATCTGCCATAGCTTTGCCTCACGTTTTACAAACACCTGCGTTCGCGCCTCAGCCATTCCACCAAACCATAGTCCATCAGCCTTCTATTGTCCAACATCCAATATTGCCACATAGGTCTATCATTCCACAGCAGTTTGCGTTACAGGTAAATATTGTTGACCAAATAATAAAAACATTAATTATATCTTCAATTTGTGTTTATTTTAGACTCAAACGTGCTAAACCTTTTGAATTGCTTTATGCATAAAATAGTCTAATAATGATTTTTGTTTTAGAATTTGAGTCCAAATCCGCAAGAAATATTACACGCAGGCCCAGATGGTCTAATAATAACACCAAATGCTCTGTACCAGCCAGACCCAGCATTCATACAGAAACTGCAAAACCAATTGATGCAACGATTTCCTGGAGTGGAATTTGTCCCCTACGCAGCAGATATACAACCTATACCATTCCACAGTCAAGTTCAAAAACATCCGCAACCAGAAATACAAACTCAAGTTCCCCAAATACAAATAGAATTACAAACTGACGCTTCGCAAACACAAGAACCAATATTTCTGCTCCAAAACGAGCAGATAACAAAACAAACGCCGTCTTCATTTGTCCCAAGCGAAAATAAAATCGTACAAAGAGAAACTCAAGAAGGCACTATAGTTACTTTAACACCGCAAGTTATTATTGGTAATGTCACTGATAATCAAATTAAAGTGACGTCACTGGAGCCACAAAACATTAGTTTCGAGCTCATAGCAGCTGAATCGCAACCATCTACAACGACTGTTAAGTACGTCGTCGAATCAAATACCGAAGAACAGAAAACTACTCCAGTTTTCTACGCACAACTTGGTCAGAATGCAGGAAATATTGTGACTGATGGATTGTATTCAGCAATAAATGAAATAAGAGCTGCTGCTGCGTTGGCCCAGGTTGAAAAACCACTGGAACAACATATACATACAAATATATCGAATTCTCAAGAAAATATTACAACTACAACACTGAACCCTGATCTAAAACCTTACTTTGTTCCAAATACAGAGGCAAATGATTTAAATCAGACTGCAAATGAAATAAAGCCTTTGCTGGGCGTGCCTTTTGCCAAATCTCCTGACTCAGTGAACGTAGGATATACGTTACTCAGCGCTAATGTAAAAACGGACGATAATAAACATGTGAAAGTAGCAAAAGACGGCTCAGTTTATGCTGGACAAATAGTTGAAGCTACTATAACTGAAGATCATGATTTCAATAGAGAAAAGGCTGCATTGATGCAAAGACGAGCTCCAATAAGACTGATTGTTACAGATAAGAAAGAGGCCAGCACAACTACAACGAATCCACCAAAAATAACTCAGATGATCAGAACGAGAATACCACTACTACCGAAAAGCAAGTTAACCGTTGATGACAAGACAGGAGAACCTGTTTTAAGGATATATGCAAGTTATGTTGACACTCCGCTACAGGTAAGCAATGCACTCAAACAGTAATTAGACAAATTGTTAACTTATTATAAAACAATTAATCATAAAAAAAAACTGTTTTCTTGGAGTATTATCTCAAATTGTTTACATTTTCAGAAAGATCTAACAGCTTCAAAGGTGGCATCAGCAAATCAGGTCAAAGAAGCATTTACTCGAAAACAAGATACGGTAGACAATTGGAAATCAGCTAATGCAAAAGCTCTTGACAAAAGCAAAGGTTTCGATTTGAACCAAGTGACGCAATTTGGATTAAAACTAAGAGAAAGGAGCGATGACTATGTTCCATTGTTTGGTGAATATGAAGACTAAATTGCAACTGTTTTAGGAAGTTAATATCTGTATTCAACGGCTATGCTACACAGAACACCACTAAAGGATCGACTAATACTTTTGGATATGAAAGTGTCAATCGCGTTGAAAAACTTCAGACAGAAATTAAAATTATATACGACTCTCATTACGTTTCATGTTATAACAACGAGGCGAATGTTTTTTAAATTGTCTAGATCTAGACTACTGTTTATGAATACGCTACGTCAATGCTCCCCAGTTCAGATGTGTGATCTATCCTCTTTAGAATATCTTCTGTGGAGTTGAGGTGTATAGACGCGATCAAAATAGAACTCCTTACATAACTGTTTTTGATAGTATAATGGCGTGTTTATTTATGTCGCGTCAGCAGACTATTACGCGTTGCCAAAGGGCGCGCAGCCTCTTTGGCAAGCGAATTCGGCAGATGAAGGCGCAAAATCACCAAGTCATAAATACTAGTATACGCACAGACTCACAACATATCGTTTGAAAATTTCAACTACCTGGTCGGGTAGGAGGTATTCCTCAGCCCCTAGTACACGCATCGTACAATGACGCGGTCGCCGACACGTTGAAATATAGATGGTGGACTGTCGCTTGCCGAAGGCGGCCGAGTCGCCAGTGATTTGACTATAAACCGAGTCGACTCGGCAGCGACTTATGGTCGCAAACAACTCAGTGTTTATAAGTTTCGGCGAACAAGCGAAAGCGACCTGTCGACCTAGTGTAAATGCGTCATAGCGCGATACTGAACGTGCTGGTAATAAATAATTATGTATTGCATACTCAAACACTTAAGCAATATATTGTCTTGTACAGATCGATTTAAATAGTTATTTTTGAAGTCATAGCAGCAGTAAAGGCAAACTGACTCGTAAAATGGTTTGTGACGGTGTGATTCAATATTAGAAACATTTTTCCCGGTTTTTTACCATATTATGTTAGAATTTATGTATTCTACTAGTGTTGAATTAATTTTGGATATATCTTTTGTGTAGGTAATTGTTTATGAGGAAGGAGCATTCAACTGTATAGAATAAGCTCTTATTTATTTGTAAATGTATATAATACTTTATTTAGACGTAGCAATACTTAATACTGCATTTAGTGTATTTATTTTATTGTTAGGTTTGTAAGCCAAATGTGTTAATTGGAACAAAAAGAAGCAATAAATATTAAACGTTTTATTTTAGATTACTAGAGTAATTTACAATTTATTACAATTGCCGAAACCTTTTTATTTTTTTGGTTATAAGATGCTGAAAAAAATAGCCAGGCTATCATATTAATACATTTCTAGTAAAAAACTTACAACATAAAAAGAAATCAACAATTTCATATAAAACAGTAAGTTATGAAAAGTGAATTCAGTCAAAAAAGAAGATTAAAAAATTATTGCCTAGACTTCATAATTATGAAACCATATATATATGCATCAGAATCCGCTGAGGTTTTCTACATTACTGCATTTCATTACTATTATGACTAAGTATAATAACGAAGCACTCTCAGAGAGCAAATTCTTGCCTTAACAGGTAAAGCTTGGTTATAGTTTGATTTACATATTATATATAGTAGCACAAAAACTTCATTACTGTTATTGGCAATTCTTAGTAATTAACAGTGCGCAAGTACGAATAATGAGTAGTCTGTTTATAAGAAATTTTCAAAGTAGCTCAGGAACTGTCATTCTATTTGTATTCAGTCACTATGGTTTTAATAACCACAGAAAATTAACACACTATATTTATAGTCTGTGATTATCACTTCAGTGAGCAGGTAGAATGTTTTTATATTATTATAAGGTAATATTTTATGTACGTAATGAGGACTACCATTATCACGTTACAAAGGCACGAAATATTTTTCACATTGTAACACAGCGCAACATTGTCACGTCCTATGTTTAGAATACATCGCCTAGCGTTTAAACCACAAGACTTATCGCAATAACATACCTTCTATTCAAAAGTTGATGACTTTACACTGTCACAATTGATGAGCCTCTAAACATTAAAACTGCCAAGTTTTTGACAGCAAATACCATACTCGGCTTGCAGTTACCTGGTAACATTTGTAATGGTAGTGCCCATTAAATGAATGTATGAATACCTCAGAGAAAAGTTCACCTAGACATATACTAGGAATCTTTCTTGAGTTTTTCCATTTGGTCCATAAACCACCGGCGACCATTTGAGCGCTCCGTGAGAATATCGCAGCCGGTTTCCGTCACCAGCAGGGTGTGTTCGAACTGGAATAAAAAATAATTGAAATATCAGTGACACTTCAGCTGCAGCAAGATGGGTATGAGTCAGTATGAGACTAGTGCGGGACCGTGGTGGCTGGCACAAACTAAAGAAAACCTAAATAGTGCAGTGGGTGTAGCTGATGAATTCAGACCAAATTTTAGTCAAATTTGTAATTATTATTTTTATGCCTGATGGTAAGCTACACCATCAGGCGCACACACCTGTCCAAAACAGTTGCAGTGCCACTCAGAGCTTTAAATCGCAAAGATCTGAGGGGCACTGCCACTGCGCCCGTCTACTGAGACATAAATTGACAAGTTACCATTCAAAACTGGAACACAGTAATGCTGACATTACTGCTTGGCGGCACAAATAGGTAAGGTGGCAGTACCTCTCTGAACAAACTCTTTCACAAGGAGCTCTACTGCTACTAGATATGGTGCATCACTCTTTGAATAACTCATTAATATATGAAACACTGGTTAACCTTTTACTTCAGCGCGACATGTTGCATGATTTCGTTTAAGAATAATAATAATAATAATAATAATAACGCTCACACTCAACATAGCCCCGCACTAGGGAAACCCTGTGTCGCGGGTGCCATGGACACACACATAGACAACCACAAATTACACCCAAACTCACGAGAGAAATAAATGTAGGCCATACAAATATTTCTCCCGGCCCGGGAATCGAACCTGGGACCTCTGCGTGGCAGTCCGGCATGGTAACCGTTCGGCCACGGAGGCAGTTTGTTATATGGCAGTTAGAATAAAAGGCAAGTAAAAAAAGAATCATTTTTAATATTTATGGTGAATATTTGTACTGTCTGCATTGTAGTTATAATTCATATGGTAGACCAAATTGTTACAATGAGACTCATTGTGATGAGCTCAATGACTATAGGCTGATGGATATATTGGTAAATAAGCTACGATTGTTTTACCCTCAAATACTTAGACAATATGTAAAATGTACCTGTGCAGAACGCGATCCATCAGCGGTGACAGCAGTCCAGTGGTCAGGCCATTGCTCATCACGCCATCCGCCCTCATTGATCATCGGCTCAATCGTAAAGCAGTGCCCCGGTTTCATCACGCCCACGGCTTTGTTTTCTAAAAATTATTGTTTGGTTAATTCAATGGGACTGGTAAAGTACTATTACCACTTTGGGAAAAGCCTAAGGTAAGCGTAAAGACACAGTATGAATAGCTTATCAAGATGAAGGGACCCCTAAGGCAGAAATAATCAGGACTTATGTTTGAATTGTATTACATGTTTTGTTTTAGTTAGACATTATTTGAAAAGAGGCCACTCATTTTGTTTCATGTTTATTTATTTAAATATTTATTTATTTCAATATTAATGATTTGAAACACAAAGCAAATTACAATATAACTATAAAACTGACTAAAGAAACATAAATAAAAATATCAAATTTGTATATTATCATTTATTCATTGGAGATTCATGAAGACAAAAGTCTAAATTGAATCTTATCTCAATGATCAGTAGTTTATAGATTTTCACATTGAATAAGCTATAAAATATATATAAAATGATGTATTTTTAGGAATGATAATGTAAAAAAATGTACAACAGAATTAAATGAATGATGAAATGATGAGTACTTACTAGCATAATGAGGCACATTAGGTGTTGTGTGGAACAGCCTATGAATTCCATGCCCACAGTATGAGCGCACCACACTGAACCCATTAGCTTGAGCATGTTTCTGTATAACATTTCCTATTTCCCGATACTTCTCTCCAGGCTTTACAATTTCAATGGCTCGTTGTAAACATTCATGTGTGACTTGTACGAGTTTTCGAGATGACTCTGGGACATTACCAACAAAGAATGTTTCGTTAAGATCACCATGGAAACCTCTGTGGTACACTGTCACATCAACATTGCAGATATCACCATCCTGGAATACCAAGTTTAAACTGATCAGCAATTCTAGATTATTATCTACTTTATGGGTGCATAGTAGCTAAATGACAATTATACAATTGGGAACAAAATCTGATAAGTGACATTTTGACTTGTTTTGCTTGTCTAACGCCAAACAGTAGCTTTTGTACCTTTCTATCATTGACTTACAAACAAATGAACCACGGGTCTAATACAAAAACCACAAAAAAAATGTCCCAAGTCAACCTATTCGAAATTTAAATTGTAATGTCATCGCAGTATCGCGCTGTCAGTAGAACAAATGAAGACTAAAGCGGAGTTTGGCGCTCTGTATACGATTTTAGCGCCTTACAAGTGCGGACACTTTTTAGCGCGGACCCGACGTCCATATAATTGTAAGTCAATGCTTTCTATGAATAATTTACCCAACCTGAACAGCAGCTGCTGAATTCTCATTCAAAATACTGAAAATAGACAAAATTGGAATTGAAATTTATGAGATTTATCCATTGATTTATCAGTTTTTGTTTTGCTATGTAAGCTACTCAATTGTATATAGATAAACTTTTTAGAATTTTATGCAAAAGGATATGTTTATGGTAGGTAGTGATTGTACAAAATAAGTCTCAAGGTAAATTCAAGCTGGTTCAAGGTATCTTCACAATGACCAATAAATTGACAAATATATCCAAGCCTGGTGGTAGCTGTGATTTGTTGCACACATGGACTGGTAAATTTTACTTATTATGTGGCAGTCAATGTGTCTCACTTCATGTAATGGAGCCTTATCTAATTCAAATATTTATAACACAACAAAATAGGTCAAACTACTAGGAAAACAAATTTAAATTTTAAACATACATAGTAATACAAACTGCTATCACGACTCTTTAAGAATTTGTATGTATATTCATGTACATCTGAATATCATAATTATATTAATTGATTCTGTAAAAGGTGTGATTTTTGAAAATAAAGTTTTACTTCTTGCTTGAATGCACCCATTATGAACTCAGATACACTATCATCATCATCATCTCAGCCCGTTAACACCCACTGCTGGGATACACCCAACTAGTAGTTTATTATACATATTATTTATCTTTGAAAGTCTTAGTACTTCTAAAGAACTTTACCTGCAAAGGACGTAGATCTGGAATCCCATGGCAAATAACTTCATTGACAGAAGTGCAGCAACTGTTTGGGAAGTTGTGGTAATTGAGCGGACTTGGATAGCAATCGCGCTCAATGCTAGCTTCATGAACTACACGGTCAATCTCATCTGTAGTTACACCTACGTCACACACCCTGGAATTACAAATTAGTAGAAATACTTTATTATTATTTACATTTGCCTGGTCTGTCAGATAAATTAACTTGTATTTTCTGAGTTTGTTATAATTATCAATTACAAAGACCGAATACTTAGAAACAATTCCTTCAACCCGACCAGATTCGAATAGATATCTTCTAGCAAACCGTGCCAGTTGCTATGCCAACTAAGCCATAGAACGAACCAGCAGCCCTCACGAATTTTTCTGTGCTTTCTTGCCAGATACTTGCATCTGGTATTTAACGACTTTTTAACTAGGGGACTCATTTCACAAAAAATAATTCAATATAATGGTGGTGAAACAGCCTGACATTCAATAAAAACACTTATTTTCGAAGTTTATAAGTTGTAGCAATGATGTAATTATTTGATTCAATAATGGCATTATTATACTGTAAATAAACTTTAATTAATTACAAATTTGCATTGTAATAATAATAACGTACACACTCAACATAGCCCCGCACCAAGGCAACTCTGTGTCGCGGGTGCCAAGGGCACACACACACAGACAACTACAAATTACATCCAAACTCACGAGAGAAAGAAACGTGGGCCATACTAGTATTTCTCCCAGCCCGGGAATCAAACCTGGGACCTCTGCGTGGTAGTCCAGGTAGGTAACCGTTCGGCCTTGGAGGCAGTTGTGCAATAAATACTATAATAATACAGATTAGATATAGCATGTAACCACAATGCATTTCAATGTTGTAAAAACCCTTCAAACATAGTTCTTAAATAACAGTTTAGCAATAATTGCACACGCAAATTAATTGAAAATCATCAAATCGCATGTTTCTCACCCATTATTGCCTCTCAAGGGCAAAATCATTCAAATCAATAGTTGTGAAAACTTACCTGGCTGCTTCATCGAGCACCTCTCTACCGAGGCGGCAAGCTACGCGCATCCCCTCGATCTCTTCATCATCCAGCACCTTGATTTGCCCTGATCCTTTAGCAGCATTCTCCGAAGCCGGAAAACCGGTCGGATGATCAGCATAGTCAGGACGACCAATATGACTAGGTACAGTCCGCTTCGGACCCGGTGGGAACGGCCTCAACCTCCCCGTGTAATTGTACGAAGGCCAGGGATTATATTCAATGTTCGACACATCTGTATTCTCACCCTCTACAACAAGAATTACACAATCAAAAAAGAAACCCAACACCGCATCATAACCTAAAAATCTGCCCCCACTTACTCGCTAAGGAGTGAATAATTTTGTGAGTTTTCCACGACTTCTTGAAGCAATCTTGGTTGCAGAAGAACGAGCCTTGAATGCCCAGTTTTATACACGTAGGACATTGTAATTGTGCAACAGATTTGCAGCCGGGAGTTTCACACATTCCAATTCCAATCGCGGCCATTTTTTGAAATGTCAAAATAACAATGCTGCCAAAATTAGCATCTCTGTGTTTGTCTACCTGGGGATCGATTCAGAACCTTACGATAACTCAGTTGTCGACTGATTCGATTTGATATCGTACGATTTCATTTCATTTTTATTCACAACATCTGAATTGAACGTCAAACTGTCGTATTCGAAACCGAACCGAAATGACGTCACACCCGTACGGTTACGCGAACTTCTCGATCCGTAACGGCTACAAACGTTATTCAGAACATAGTTATCGAATTAAAGTTACCGAACTGGAAAATTACAAGACATTGGTTTTCAAAATGACCCATCATTCCCATCTCTATTCCTACGCCATACCAACATTAAACATCTTAAAGACGCGTTCAATTTTTACTGAAGCATAGCCGAAAACCTCACGTTTGGGTGGGTAGAGATAAATTATTCACCTCAAACATTGCTTAATAGCAAAACAATCTCACTATTGTGGTCTATATGAGCTATGCCTATCTCCCAGGAAGGAAACGAAACGTATCTTAATAAAAACAATAATAAATAAACAAACCTTTAAAGAGAATATCGCTAACTAGTGCATCGACTTGTTTCTTCATTTCGACCTTTTTTTGTTAAGTTCGGTAGGTTCTTGCAAAGTATATTATATTGTGTTGATAATTTTTTAACAATTAATCTTCTGTAAATTGTAAGAACCTAAATCAGTACCTAATGACTTCCTATATGACAAAGAAATTATTCTTGAAATTTAAAAAGATGTGCCTCGACAATGTTTACACATAACGCTAACATTTACGACTTTTACACTCGTCTATTATTTTGAATGAATCGATCTGCTGCCCTGAAGATGTGTGGGTTGTCCAACTAATTTGGGAAAGCCGGTCCCATAATAACTTGCGCCTTACGCAATACGTTTCAGCGGAATACTTTTCTAACCCAATAATATTGAAACGTAAATATAATATATGTTATAAAATAATAACTTACTCATTAACATAAATTTAGTTCCATTCAACCAGCCGTCCGGTAGGTCCCAGGACCGAATTATAACGTTTCTAGTTCTCGTATAGAGGAAATTCAGCGCTGCTATTAAATCATCCATTTATTTACTTACACTTCTTAATCTGAGTGTGTTTTTGAAACTGAAAATTTTATTTTCAATTTACTTTTTGTTCTCGCGCACTGTTTTCACTTCACATCTCTTTTCATTCATATCAGTCCATAGATAAGATTACTACATTGATAAGAGTATTATACTTCTATGTAGATAGCTACCTAGCAGTCTCGGGTAGTCCTGACATCTAGTTTTTAAATGCAAAACTACAACAACTAATCACTGTTTCAGGTTCATAAGTTTCATAACTGAAGCATAACTTCTTGTTTAAAAATTCACAGTTGCAAGTTTTTTGAATAATTTACTGAAATGCTTGTAAGTATTATTTTATTACTTGTTGCCTTTTAGAAATTAACGGAATCATCCCGCCCAAGCACTTTAAAGATTTTAGTATAGGTATATTGAAAGACAAAACCGGAGACTTGTCGGACAAAATGTAATTACAGCCCATACCGCTAGCTACAGTGATGGTTAAGGTGCTGGACAGTGTGCTGGACTCAGAATTAGACAAACATTTAAACATCCATGATGCTCAGTTTGGTTTTAGACAGCGGCTATCTGAAACTGCGATTCTGAGTTAAAACACACTGTGCAGTATTATACACAGAGACGTACACCTGTGTATGCATGCTTCCTTGACCTTTCAAAGGCATTTGACCTTGTGGCTTATGATAAATTGTGGGAAAAGTTGGCAGACACAGGCGTGCATGCGCAGGTGCAGCGTCTCTTCCAGTACTGGTAAGCCAATCAGATAAACAATGTGAGATGGGGAGGCAGTCTTTCTGGTGACTACAGGTTGGATAGCGGGGTGAGACAAGGTGATTTGAGCTCTCTGAAGCTTTTCAACTTATAAATCAACGACCTGATCGTGGGGTTCAGTAGTGAGCGTGTCAGCTGTACGGTTAATAATGTTTTTATAAACAATATCAGCTACGCAGACTACATGGCGCTGCTGTGCCCTTCGGTCGGGGCTGTCAGGAGATTGCTGGGCATCTGTGAGAGGTACGCTGGCGAATATAGGTTGGTGTATAATTGCAAGAAAAGTGTACATGTTCTTTAAGGCCGCCGGTAAAATTCCTGAATCAGTACCACTCATTAAACTTAATGATGTCAATCTGACTCGTGTATACAGTTTTAAATATCTTGGGCATTATATTGCCGACGACCTTCATGACTAGGCGGACATTCAGAGGGAACGTAGGGCATTGGCGATCAGAAGCAATACGTAGGCACGTAGATTTGCTCGTTGCAGTAGGCAAGTAAAAATTACCCTATATTAGTGCCCTATGGGTCCAGTATAATAATGGGTTTAGATTGATGATGGTGCTGTCTTGTTTCTGCAGTGCTCTACGTACAACAGTATTCTACGGGTCATACCTGACAGATATGACCTGCCTATAATGAAGTCTTTCGTTTGGGTCCTGATCAAATAGTCTCTTATGAGTCTATTTGATCGGGATGCGAGTGAAAGACAATTTTGACTTGTATTTTTATTTTATTTTCTTTGTCACTAACATAGTTTTTTAAGTTAGTTTGTAAGATACTAACACTATTGTACCATACCATGTTTTTATTATATCATTTTATCCTTTTTGCTTTACTATGATCTGGACATTTGGGCTTGAAATAATTCATAAGTTAGACACAAGAGTTTTATGTAGAATATATAAAAAAATACTTTGTATGCCTTTTAGTGCGGGAAAGTACATAGAATTTATTGTGACAATTCGTACAGCTGCACGACTTGATATCCCAGTTTGCTCCTCGCATAGACGTCTTTGCGGCAAAGACTTAGTGCTCTGGGTCATCACGGTCTTTCCTGCTAGCTGAGCGCTTGCCGTATCTCCTGGCCTGCAGCCCTCAACGACATCATCGCCGGGAGTTTGTCACGGTCAACGTGCCCGCTATACTCGAGCGGCATATCGCGAACTGATGGCAAACGCCCGGATGGAATGACACTCCTTCCTTCAAGTAGGTATGGGCCGGGCACTGGCGTGGAAAGCCACATGTGCCAACACACTTGCCCACTCCCGTCTCCAGCACACCAGCAAGATGGCTGGCTCCACAGCTGAGGTTGGCGGAAAGAATAAAGAGTAATAAGTACCAGGACCGGCCCCGACTACTTATTTTCACTCTTTAGAGTCGAAACCCTTGGCTCGGGTCCCGGTGCCCTTCATCTGTAGAAATTTTAACCGAAAAATTAATAGACCCTCTGGGAAACCCAAGGGCCAGCAGCTACCTTGCCCAACACATAAGCATAGGTATACAAAAGGGAAACGCTGCCAGCATTTTGGGCACTTTGCCGCGGGACCCATTTTTATTCATATAATTTAATCCTAGTTTTAGTTTCTAGTATTTAAGCTTTTATTGTACCTTATCTGCATAATATATTATTATTTTAAGTTATTGTGAAAATTAATAAAAGTTAAGGAATAAATAGATGTAAAACTTGTGAAAATCCTAAGAGTGCAACACAATGACATACAATGCGACACAGTGGCATGTTTGAAGAAGCGCGGGTGCAGGATTTCTTTCCTCTTGTGAGAGGTAAATATATATTTTCCTTCTAGGATAGACAGTGTTGTTCCGATCACGGCATATTGAGAGTCATTATTTTACACTTTCCTTAGAGGACAGTTGTGTCCAGCAGTGGGACGTTCATTAGATTGCCGATAATTGTTTTGGATCACATTGAACGAGTCTCGATAAAAATATTTCCTGGTAACGGCAGCTAGATGACGCTGATGTAGAAAAAAAAAATATCCTGTTCATATGAAAGATAAACTGGTATGTATCAGTCGCGTTGACCGTTGGCATTGTCAATGTCAGTTGAACTTTGTATTTGGTTTGTATTCGCGTTCTATTTATGAAAATTGTTACCTCTTTGTGATGGCTTTTTAAATTGCTGTTCCCATTAGCTGCCAGCATAGTTCCGCCGGACATCTGCAGAAATGTAGCGGCATCTTGCGTAAGAGCAAAAATGGTCATCGACACTCGGCACCCTATGCACGATCACTTCACAGTGCAACCGAGACTGAGAAGCCGGAAATATTTTGCCAAATGTGTCGATGGCGAGGTGCAACTTTTGGTGCGATAGAGTACCTACCAGACTCAGATTGGTCGAAGTAAGAAAATTTGTTCAGGTGGGAATTTTCGGATGATTCTAACCTGGACTGTTTGTGCGGTGCGACTCTACAGTTCCCTATAAAAGAGTTGTTTTCCTTGGTTAAATGAAAAAAAACGAATTTAATTTTGCAACGGTCCAAGCCAATCCAATGGAAGTACTTATTGGTATATTACTAAATTTTGAAAAAACCTTACACTGCCAACCGTAACTCTATTATATGTACTTACGAGTGTAAGAGTGTGAAGTTATCTCCGAGAGACGTTTCCAGAATTAAAGGTATGTTTGTCATAATGTGGTGAAGTTAATGAGCCAACAACGAGACTGTGCGCCTCACGGCACAAAATAAAATTAGCGTCTCGTCTTCCTGGTTTGGCGCCAAACATACCTTTTTACTCGTATATTGTGTAGGTCTGGGCTAATATTAGGCGAGGGAATCATAGCCAGGTGTTTTATCAGTTTGCAATATAGAGTCGATTCAAAATATGCCACAACGTTGTACCCATGTAAAATTTATATGTTACGTTATGCTTAGAAAATAGATTTAAGGATTTTGAATGCGTATTTAACACGAATGCACGTAAACTAGTACACATGTTCTCATGCACGTACTCACGCCTGAACACACGTATGTGACACGTATGCCTGAACGTACGCACGCACCATAGTATTATAATAAGACGAGTATAACTCTATTCATACGCAACCGCCGCAGACAGCCAGCCGTGACCATGGGACCTGTAAAGGACCCGAAACGTTGGTTTGATCGAAAAAA